GTGACGCGAGCACTGGAAGCAGGCCGCAACCTCGGGCTGTGCGGTAGATCGCGGGGTGGCCTCTGACGGCCGTTGCTTATTGTCGGGGTTGCAGCTTGGAAGGGGAACGTCCAGTTCGTGGTAGCGTGCATGCTATGCCTTGTTCTTTGCTCGGTGGCGTGAACAGGCGAAGGGCCAGGGGACTGCTTCCATGAAGCCATCCAAGCCAACTTCCTGGCGCACAACGTGCCTCGGCCACGGTGTGATCTCGTGGTATCGTCGACAGCTCCTAGTATTCAGTACGAACATGAACTGAAGCAGTCAAGGATGAAGTTGGGGGGAAGGGGGGGGAGCAAGAGCAGCTGATGAAGTATCGGGAACCATGTCGGATAGCACGTGGAGCATGATCCGTGACTTCTCTCAGGCAATGAATGCGCCCAAGAAGATCAGAACGCTGGACATGAAGGCCAAGTGCCGGAAGTTCGCGAAGGCCAAGGGCATCAGCCGACGAGTCCGCAGGCAACCAGCGAGTATTCTGCATGTGTTCGCGGGTTCTCTTCTTGAAAATCGTCCATGCTGGTCCTAACTCCTGAGAGGTCCTCGGATGTGGCAAAGGAGCAGATGCGACTGCAGCTGCCGGCTCTGGAAGCTTGCAGGCACGACATGCCGAGTTGATGTTGCTGGAGCGGCAACAGCAGCCCTGGCAGGAAACGCCGGCGCGAAGGCGAAGGAGGGGAGGCCGCGCCTGCCCGCCCTCGCAGGCGCGACATGCCGAGTTGATGTTGCTGGAGCGGTAACAGCAGCCCTGGCAGGGAACGCCGGCGTGAAGGCGAAGGAGGGGAGGCCGTACCTGTCCGCGCGCCTGCCCGCGCGCCACCGCCGCTGGACCGGGACAAAGTGATGAAACACTTTGTGCCGGACTGAGTACGTAGAAGTGCCGATTAGGTGTGGACGTCGTCAGCCTGGTTCGGTGTGCGTGTCTGCATTGACCAGGCGGACGAACTGACCGCGGCGGTCCACGAGTCGGGCGGCATCAGCAAGGTCTGGTTCCCGAGGGGGCGGATCGTCTTGGGACGAGAAGCAGGCGCGATCCTGTGTTCCGAGACCACCGCGGTGCGTCATTGATGTGTCAAGTCTCGTGGCTTGGCACCATGCAACCTGGATTGATCGTTGATGCCTTTCAGGCCGAGCCCTGCGCGAGCTGTTGAGACAGCCGGTCGAGCAGCCATACGATGTCAGGACGGCAGCTGCCGAGCTCGTTCTCTTGAGCTTGAACCCTGGTGCCAGACAGGAGCCGCACACGTACTCCGCTCAAGGACATCGCAGGTCTGATCCGATACCGGCTTCAGAAGCGGCTCGGGAAGCCGCCATCTGCGTGGGCAGAGGACAGGCGGTTGAAAGTTGGTGTCTCGCGATACCTGGTTGGTGATTCCTCACGCGTTCCCGCCCGTCACGAGGTGACCGCAATGGACTTCGAGACCGCGGTGAACACGCTTCGGACACGCCACGATGCTGGCACCTGGCTCACACTGCTGCATAGCTGCCTTCCGTAAGCGGACTGACGGCCTCTCGAGAAAAAGGATTCGGGGAGGTACGTTTGTTGTCGTGCTGGAGGGACCCGAAGCCGTCCTAGAGCAGC